ATTTAATTTGTGTATTACACAAATCTTTCCACGAAACAGACAGTTTTAAGTGCAAAGGTGCGAAAGTGCAGAATCACTCCCGCATCCCCTTAAGCGAGGAACGTAAGACGCGTCGAAGTACAATTCAAACTCGAAGTTTGACGCGACGTGAAAGTCTTTAAAAGTCTTGCCGAAGCACCGGGAACGCCAGTGCCATTTTTGGCTTTCCTACGCATCCAAGCGTATATTGTGGGAAGTAAAACACGCGAGATAATTAAGTCTCGAGCCAGCGAGATCGACAAAATCAATGTGAAATCTGAAAACACGGCGAGATAAGAATAACTTTGCAATTAGATTTCACAGTGATATATGCGGCACACTTTTTTTTACATGTCTGAGCGGAATAATGCGGCAACTCGATGCATTCCGCGAGTGCTTATGGGTACGAATGATAGGAACTTGAAACTTCGACTTCGCCCATTACAGTATGACACTAGTAATTTCTTGCTCTAACGATCTGTTGTCGAATAACTAAATAGAGAGAAGCTCACTTTTGCGCAACATAAATCTTTAGTAGCGAGAGAGAAAGAGATAAAGATTGTGCATTAGAAGACTGGAGGTGTTTTGAAGAAGCTTAATACAATTAAGCTGCAGAAATAATGGGAAGTGCGCACGCATATTTAAGAATTCGTATTAAGATCTATAGATCAATTTTTGTTTTTAATTTCTATGATTTGTGGGACTTTTAACGGTCTTTAAATTAAAACAAGTCTACTATTCAGTGAATGTAATTAAACTAGCATTCGTGGCACGAACTTGTGAAGACTATAATAAGCAGATCCCCTTATAAAGCGAAAATCCCTTTAATAAAAGAGTGTTAAGAATTTATGAGACTAGCGGGCCATCCGAGAAGGTATCGACCTCGGAAATGAGCTTCCTGTTGCTGATTTATTTCGCTGAGAATTTTATTTAAACTGAAATCTTTTCGATAATTGACATCTCAAGTAAATGCCGAATTCACGCTCACGTAGAGATTCCCCTAAAAAAAAACTGATTTTTTTTCTAAAAAGAATTGGATTATTCCGTGAGACGCTCTGTAGCTCTTCAGCTTACAATCCGTGTCGAGAACCAACTCGAGTGGCTCGTGAAGCGGCTTATCTTATCTTGCGGAGTGAAAGGCACGGGTGCGAATGGAAGCGAGAATAGGGTGCGAAGGCACAGTCGTGATCGATAACTGATCGCCAATTATAATTTATGTGTATACACTCTTTGATAGAATTAGTTCCATCTCGCATCAACGGCGAAAACGAGGGAATGTAAACCTATACAACTTTCTAAAAAATAATTGTAGAACGATTTGCAAAAGAGCATTTTAAAGCCGAAAAGTTCTGCTTTGAAATCTCACCAAGCTTTTGTTCTCAACGACACTTCTGCTTTAAACGACGCAATGCTGTCTCAAGATGCGCAAAATTGACAAGAAGATTTTAATATTGAAATTGAAAGGCATCGTTTGCTCGAGATTTCCTGAAAGTTTAAAATGTTCCCTTTAAAATGCCTGATTTTAAAAACTACGCAACTCTGTAACGTCGTCGACAAGTGTATCTATAATATTGGTATATAAAAATGTATTGATCTCGATTGAAGAAAATGAAGAAACAAAGAGTTAATTGGACAATTAATTAAACTTAACGAGCTCGTTGGAGTTTTATTAAACCTATAGTTTTCTTATTCTTGAAATGCAATTCCTATTTTCTCTTTTCTTTTGTTCCAGGCCAAACAACGTGCCTCCGTAAAATGGCTCCTGTCGAAGGCATACAACAATCGAGTGCCAGAAAAACTCCGCGACCCCTATTACCGTGACCATGAGGTAAGATTTATTTTAACGCTAACGAATTTGTCTCTCGCGCTTCAGACTTCCGAAAGTTTCACGAAGATGAACCTTATTGATATTAACGAAGTTTTACGTTAAGCGCGCTTCACAATTCCAAGTTAAAAATTACCTCTGATTTAACAAATTGCGAACTGTAAAAATCTTATAGTACACTGAAAAAAATTTCTGGTTGAATATGGACGAATCAGATAATTCCTTTAGGATTTACCAGAATTCCTGTAATCCTACAGAAGAATTCTGGTAAATCCTAAAGGAATTATCTGATTCGTCCATATTCAACCAGAAATTTTTTTCAGTGTATACGTCTATTTTAAATTTTAAGATTTTTTTAAGTAAAGTTCCTAATTTTTCCAATGCATACTCGCGAGAAAATGAATTTTGTCACGCGGATAGAAAGGAGAGGTTTCTCTCGCAGATGCATTTTACGGCTTTTTTTACGCCCAGTGATTTTCTTTGCGATTGCTATTGTACAATGGTTTCCTTTCGTGCGAAGATATCGATGAGTTTTTCCTCGCGAAAAGTCATCGGTTTCCCAGACTTCGACGGTGTCCTGAAATACTCTGCCTTGTAGCACACGTCGTTATTTCGCGTCGTAGAAAATGGGATCTGCCTCGTGAAAGGCGGTGCTGCAAAATTATCGAATTATCTATGCAGAGATGCTAATAGTGTTTTCGCGAGCACAATATCGCGTTGAACTCCGATGAGAATGAACGAAGCTATGGGGAAATGTGTTACAAATTACGTTGCCTATACTTTCTTTACGTTACTCCGGAAACCTACGGAGGAAATGTAGCCGAGACTGCCACGACTGAAGTTCCGTGAAACTTGGCGAAGAACTGAACTTTGTACTCTTCTTCCACGAGGATAATGTCTGTCAGCAATATCTCTTTGAACGTGTCGAGTAAGCCTGCTGGAAAGAGAATCTGATTTATAGAATATATAAGCCGTTCGTTTCAACTCGTAAATTGGTCTTCAGACACTCGCCCCGTCCACGATGGACAAATGATAAGCTAATGTGTTATGTCAACTCTCAACCCGTGTCGAGGTTCTGTTCGTATTCTGCTCTTTGAAGCTGTGTTTGAGGGAGCCCGAATACCCTCCGCGGAGTAAACGTGGTCGGGACGACTTGCGAAAAATGCTTTCCTCTTCCGCGAAGCACAGGTGTGTGAGAATTACGTCGAGATATACTTTCTATTAGAAATACGTTTCTTTGCTAGATACGGAAGTCGGAGAATATTCGAACGTGCAATTTTTCACTTTTTGTTAGCGACTGTTGCGCACGAACTGTATCTTCATGTTCCTTCATGTTTTCTCGCCTGCGCATTCTGACACGGGAGCGCGCGCATTTTCCTCGCGTAAGAGGACTTCAGATATTTTTGTTATGTCCGGGAAGAAGGCGAAGCACCTTTTCTTGAAACCAAAGCTTTGAAAATATTTTTGGACTTGGAAGGTACGCGATCCTCGCACGTGAGGATTATTGCAAGTTCCTCTTTGTAATCATAAAAGCGCTTTCTGCGGAAACGTGCGTGTTCGTAAAATGAGGAAGCTTAAAATATTCTCATGAAATAAAGACGAGGAAGGCACTCGGGTATACGTACTTACACAGCTACAGTTTAAGGATCATAAATATTAAACGACTTAGAAAGGAAACTAAGACAAACTGCAGTGTAACTCCTTTTGCACGGAGATGACTAACGATCGCCGACAACATTTTTCCTTCGTATTTGTTTCTCATTCGCTTCTTTGCGCACCGGCAATATAATTATATTTATTAGTCCGGCAACACGCCAGGAATCCTGGTGCTTACTATCTTTCAATTATCTCTGCTTCGCGTATTTTTTTATCATTTGCCCAGCAACCTCGCGCAAAAAAACTTTTACAGATCCTCTTTTCGATATTTCGCCCACATTGCGAGTCTTCCGCGCAAGGCTGCACGAAGCGAACGTTCCTCGCTTCAGCGTTGCTCTATTAATTGCGGCTGCTCGTTTAATCGGACGGAATCTCTATTGAAGTAATATTTTACGAAATATTATTTAAATCTAAACCTAGTTTCGGAAATGTTGGATCTTAGAAATTAAATTAGTTTTCGCCAAATAAGGTTTGGCAGAGACAATGTTTCCCTTTTTCACAAAGGACATCCCTAAAGTTCTACTATTTCTATACTTTCTCATTTACCTTGCTCTGTTATCTAGCGTTACGCTTTTATCTATCTGTCGTATCTTGCTACTTGTGTATCTTAAGAGAAATTCTTATATTTGAATGTACATTATTTTATCTTTGATTACGAATCTATGTATGTGAAAAAATAAATAGTAACCTTATTAAGCAATAGAGTATGAAGATAGTAAATAGAAAATTTTGTGCAATTTCAATTTGCTTCGTTATTCGTTGTTCCTTCTTCCTTCTTCTTTGCTTCGCTGGTCCATTCGTCTTCTGGTTTCGTTTCTAATGGAAGTTTCCATGGCGGATTCGAAGTATTCGATCTACTCGGCTACTTCTCGGATACTGGATTGCCACTCCGAGATCCCCTGACTACGCGAAATGAAGCTCTCGCATCCTCCGGCACGATCATCCGTAGCCATAAAGTCGTTGCAACAAAACGAACGAAACGTCATCGTGAAGACAAGGTCGTTCTTCCCCTCCGTTTCCTTCGAACTCGATCATCTGTGGCACTCACTTTCACCGCGCTAGATTCCTTAGGCAGAAAAATTTCTCATGTAGTTTTTTATCTTAAGCATCGTTTAAAACCGTTCGAACTACTAATTACAAAATTATTGGTGCGTAAAGAATTGATGGAATAAAAATGCTTTCGACTCTTTCACGTTATATGCAAAAAGGCTTGTACAAAAATGCTAAAATACCTCGTACAATTCGTTGACTGGAGAACTCGCGTATTAAAAGCTTTTTTTTTAATATCTCGAGATTTAGAAAGATAATTTATGCAGTTCTAATTAATCGCGTAATTATTCGAGCGTGTGGATATAATTAATTCGAATGTAAGTCGCATAATCACCTGTTAATCCAGAGATAAATTTTGATGTTTACAGGAACAAGAGCATCTGAAGCCGCAGATCGTTCACGCGCTTTCCAATGCGGAGCTCTACTGCCTCGCGCTGGCCAACATATACTCGGATCCTAATTATCACAACCAGAATCACTACGGGATCCTGCAAGCCCTGGCCAGGAAAGGCGTCTACGTCACGGAGCAGAACAATACTCAGCTCACCGAAACGATCCTCATTCAAAATTCACCACTCAAGATGGTAAGCTTACTAGTAACATGCACGCACAGTCGGTGTCTCCTCTTCTTCGTTCGAGCAGTTTTGAATATCGAGATACGGCAACCTGAAATTGTTCGAAGGGTATTAGTGTAATTGGTATTCACATCGCGATATCTACAGATACCATTTGATTGTGTAGAAGCTACACAAATCCATCCTATTGCATGAAAATCTCATTACGACAAATTGCACGAAATTACTTTAATCAGCGCTCGCATAATGTCTCTATCTCGTTACAGTCCGCGCATATGGCTGTGATAGAAGGCCTGATGGTCTTGTACGCGAAAGAGGTGGTGACGGGGGACCGGGTGGTCTCGGCGATACGACGGTTTGACCTCCAGGCTGGCGTGGACATGCCGTCGGATCACGAGAAGGGTCTTCTGCTCTGGATCAATCACGCGTCGCACGCCCTGATCGCCAAGATTCAGAGCGAGGAGGGTGGCGGCGACAAGACGCGGCTGCCCGAGCTACCCGCCGCCAAGGACTTTCAGTCTCTGTGCGACGGTGTCGGCTTGGCGGCCGTTGTCGCCTTCTACTGTCCCGGCGAGCTCAATTGGATGGAGATCAGGGTGTCGAAGAGACCCTCGGTAGCGGACGCGCTGCACAATCTCTCCCTGGTGCACGCGTTCTGCGTCAAATGCCTACCCTACTCCATTTTCCACATGCAGCCCGAGGACGTCACGTACATGAGAGGGTGCGTTAGTTAATTAAACTCGGATATGGCAAATATTTTACAAATTTTCTACTACATCGCGCTATTTTTAAGTGATATAGTTATCAGCTATCCTATTCCCTTTTAACTAAATCCTTGTCGTCATTTTTAGATCGATGAAGCAGAACCTGGTGGTTTTTCTGGCTGACATGTACAACGTCTTGGAGATTCATCCGGCGAAATGCGTGCGCTATCCTGGTGAGGAGCGGGCGATGCAATACCTAGATGGTGCGTACATGTTTTCTGGCTTGGAATGAGACTGTCTATTAGAAGCAAATCTGCGCGACAATATGCGACACTCGCGTTATACTTCGACGGAGCGAAAGGGAACGAGAGGGTGGAAGAGAAAGAGAGAGGAATCGTGAAAATTGGTGGTGGATAAATGTGATTGGTGGAGGCTGCTGTACACTGGACTTTTATATACCCGTTCTATTATTTATTTTATTACTTTCCTCCATGAAATTCCACTACTGTTGCAGGCAACGTACGCACATCGAGCGTCGCGTGTGATTTTATTCTAGATTGTCAAGTCAGTTGAATGAATTCAATATATTCGCGAAATAATTCAAATAAATAAATCACCGATACTACGAGGAATGTTGCCTGCAACTGCAATGGTATCACGCTTTTTATCAGTGTCAATACACATACTCGATATCCCAGCCTCTTGATCCGGACTCTCCCCCGAGAGCAGCGACTAATTGATATTAATTTCCAATTTCGATGCCAATTGGCCTATTTTGCGAATGCGAACAACAATGAGGTCGCCGCTGCAACGGGCAAAGAGATGCGATATACGCCAACGACTACGAACTTACTACCTCCACACGCAGCACTTAATCTACAACTGTAATATTTCCATATATTTCTATGGCGTAACCTCTTCTTGACGCTTGATACGACAACGCTATCCTCGCCTTCTTCTTTCGTCAACTTCCGGTTGTCCATGAACCACATGATACGGCGCGGCGACGGGTGCAGCCTGCCCGCGCAATAGTCATGGCGTAGCTCATAAGAGAAGCCTGCCACAGTCTATAGCTCCGATACCTGATCTGAGAAGCAACCTCTCCATATCCGCGCCAGGTTTCACAGGTATCCACACGTTACCACACAAAGAATCAATCTCATGTCTACTAGGTGGTCGTCTATCTTAGCGAGTCGCGTTTCCGTCAACTGACTGCCGTTTTTTTAGAGTGTCTCGAAGGGATCAGCGACTTCACGGTCGCCTTATCGCGTTATCATTCATATATGTAGGTGTGTCACCCACCTGAGCGCGACGCACACTTATCCGGTTATAGACAGTGTGTATAACAAAATGTAACATCTTTTGACTACAATTATTGCTAACATCAAGCTTAATTAAGATCTGTCGTTCTGTCAAATTCTACACTGAAAAAAATTTCTGGTTGAATATGGACGAATCAGATAATTCCTTTAGGATTTACCAGAATTCCTTTAGGATTTACCAGAATTCCTGTAATCCTACAGAAATTCTGGTAAATCCTAAAGGAATTATCTGATTCGTCCATATTCAACCAGAAATTTTTTTCAGTGTACAATTTAACAGTAGTATTTAGCTTTCATCAATCTTTTAGTATAACCAACGCCATCTCATCATCACATGGATATAAAAGTGTGCATACAATACAAATTTTTACTTTTTCTATCGCTTTGGAAAAATTGTATCTCATTATTGAAAGATTAAGCCATGCCGCTGAAATTCCAATGCGAAATTCTTTTGGGAAAAAGAGCAAGACAATGCGTTCTACCGATAATTCTTATATGCGTTTAATTGAAATCTAAAAGGAAAAAAAGAACACGTGATCCCGTTGGACTAATCTCTTAGCGAAGTTCATGAATTGTGAGGCGCACTGCTTGTTACTGATCACGTATATTGTTTGCCTTTCATCCGCTCACTATCGTGAGAGCCTAGAACGATATATATATTTATATATATTTATATATATCGTTCTAGGAGGAATTTATACATGTGTAAATTCCTCCGACCTGCATGTGAATAGCATACTTTTGCAACACCATCATTGGCTGCCTACCGCTTGCATTGGATCATTGGCTTCACCACCTTTCGTTTGCATGAGATTTTGAGTCGTGTGCGCTGCTGCCCAGTCACTGTCAACGAGAGAGATGAGAACTTCGTCGTCATTCATTAAGGTCCACTCCATGTTTAGTTAGTACGATTACGTTGCGACGTATTGTTTATGGTGCCATTTGGTTTATCATGTACCGAGCTGTATGTTTGTTTTACGTTATGTTCATTTTCAGATTTGTCTGACACTCTGCGACAAAGACTAGAGATTAGAGCTTGTAGACTCGATATTTATCTCCGTATGGTTATTTCCTCTCAAAGTGTATAACACAGGCTTTTCCGTTTTTAACATTCTGATCCTTGGAATTTGTACAAGTTGAAATTCCCATGCCGCTATCGCGCGTCCCATCGACTTCCGTCGCTGCGTTCTCACATTGAGCACGTTTTGCTGGCAATATATAAATAAACTCGCTCATGGGAATTTCACATTGTGCCCTTAAATAATCTGTTGCGTAAGCTTTATTTTTAATGTAACGTAACGTGTAAATTTATTATCTGTTGAGCATCTTCCTTCTTGAATATATTATAGTTTGAGTGATGAACGAGTCTTCTCATCTAATTAAATAAAAATGTAAACAGACGATCGATTCATCGTTAAATTATCTTTCCAGTTACGAAGTCGACGTCAGGCAGCACTGTGAAGAAATCGCAATCGTTGCAACAAACTGCCGAGAGTCACCAGTACGATGACAGGTGCGTCACTTCAGGTTCCAAGTATACTCTGAGGGAAAGTGTACGCTCGAAAACCGATAGAACTTGCCAATATAGTTGGCACTTGTAAAACTAAATTTATTGCGTACGTAATTACTAAAGGTCAAGCTTTGAATTTTCCTTACAGGCGCGCGGGTAGCGAGGACAGTTTCGTAGTGCATCGTGGCAAAGGTATTCCCACGCTGAGCTCCGTAGCCGACGAGAAGTCTGCCAGAACTGAAGCCGCTGGTCGGCCGAGCAACTGGGAGGACCAACGGCGGAGCTCGTACGCCGGGCGTCGGTCCAGACGGAACAGCATCACGGACGATTCTCAGTTAACCATCGAGAACTTTGGCGGGTCTCAGGTACGTGTTTGCGCAAGAGCGACGTGTCACTTCACTCGTCGTCGCGCGCGACGAGGGTAGCTTGGTGCAGAAGAGGAGATTGTCTCGAGCGGACAAGCGGTATGATCGAGTGATTTCTTTTATCCAGGATAATTTACACAATTTTGGTAGAAATCCGGACAAAGAGCTAGGCGCGCACACCGGCAAGCGCACCACTGCCGAGCCGACGTTGCCCGCGCGATCCAGCGTCCAGGATGTGTACGGTAGCGGCGTGCAGCACATAATCGCGGACAATGGTTACAGCGGCGGCGAGGAGCCGACGAGGCTGCGGCGACAGGCGTCTAACAGCAGCCTGGATAACGTCGCTCTCCGGCAAATTTTACATTCCAGCGCAGAGAACGACAACTGTGCGGACAGCGGCGGTGGCGGTGGCGTCGGTGGTGGCGGCGGCGATGGCCTCACGAAGTTCGCCAGTTTCGCGAATCTGAGCAGGCAGAGCTCGGAAAAGGGGATCAATTTCACGTATACGGAACAGGATGACGCTAAGTCGGGCAGGAAACACGGTCAGAGTAATGGCAACGGGAACAGCGAGAAGAAAACGACATTTGCCACTCTGCCAAACACAACCACGTGGCAACAGCAGAGCAACCAGCAGTCGCAACAGATGGAGCAACATTCTATCGGTAAGCTTAAGAATACAATTTACTTGGCAAATAAAACTCATTTCGGGCAATGAGTTACAAAAGATCTTAGTGACAACGCACAGTTATTCATATCATTGGTAAAGTCGAATTTGCGGCGTCCAAGAATGAATTATTTTACTTTATTCCATTTTGAGTTGTTGAAAATATTCTGTGACGTTAGATGAGAACGGCGGTAATACCATAATGGCCTCGCAGTTGAATAATATACGACTGAAGCTCGAAGAGAAGCGACGGCACATAGAGAACGAGAAGCGAAAGATGGAAGTTGTTATGTCGAAGCAACGGCAGAAAGTCGGAAAGGCTGCCTTTCTGCAAGCGGTCACGAAGGTAAAAACACCTGGGATTACTCCAAACGTAATTTAGAAAGACTGCATAATACACATTGAACACTGGTACATCATTGTCATCGTCAGTTCTGCGTATCAGTTCTACATGTACGTCATTGTTATAGTCGGAATTACCGGTGATTTGCGTTCCTTTGATAAAAGAAAAAGATACAGAGTGATACGGGTGATGTAGTTCGGTGCGAATTATAGGGAAGGTTTTATCGAGACACAACATTAAGGTCTGCCATGCTGTGTGACAGCCACTTTTCGAATCTAGGCACGGGTGTTTAGTATAGAGCAAATAGTACAAAGACCGTCTCAAAAAGTACAAAGTTTCTTTTTCTCCCGCCTTCCACTTATGTTTTTCATGTCATATTTCTGATTGTGATTACCCGCGATTGTTTGATATTGCTTGTACATATGAGTATCGGTTGAATTTGTTGCATTATTCGTAAAGTACGTGGATGTAAAATATATATATATGATTGTTCAATTTCAGGCGACAATCGAATTTTGTTTGTGACTCATCTTTTTATTTTGTATCTAGGTATATTTGTGTAGATCGTCGTTTTCGACCGCTTTGGTTGTACATAGTAGGACCTTACCACCCCCTTGTTTTGCGCCTTAAATAATCTCGGTTGCCATGTTATTTTAACACAATTCTCTTTCTGACATTTCAGCTGTACTTGATGGTAAGCGCATGCTGACGCACTAAATTTTTGCATTATAACAAGATTGAACATTTCTATTTTAAATCACGTTTCCGTTTAAGCGGGAATTGCCACTTTGTCAAATGCCATCTTTATTTAGCACATGTTATTTTTTAATTGAAAACAATATCAATATCTTGGAACTCGAGCAATTGATATCACTTTATAATTTCAGTTATTTCAGTTGTGTGCATGTGGATAAATTCTTCTTTCTTTAATATCGCATAGTTAAATCGGGACGTTTCTATGAGAGCTTATCTTTTATTTCTCATCTAATGTTTCACTTTAGTTCGTTTTAGTTCCAAAGTATTGATAGAGTTGCGAATGCATTGAGTTCTAAACAGTTTGAGGAAGGTAGATAGATTCATCTTGTTCGAAGCACTGCATGCCGTTTTACGAACATGTCTCCGTCGAAAGAGAGTAGTGAGTTTATACGTATGTAAATATAGAAGAAAGTTTCGAACATTTGAAGCGTAAAAGAACTAGTCAAAGTGCTAATAGCGTGTAATTATCGTGTCACAATCCTTTTACATCATCAACGCTACAGTAAATATGTTATATATGTATATACTATTATCTAGAGAAGAGAGATATATATATTTAATTTTAATTATGCATATTCACGCGGGCACAATAAAATTTTTTTCTTTTTCTTTACATTCATAATTCCGTACGTGAATACTGCGTGCTCGTAGTTGAAGCCAGTTGTTGTTCAATTAAGTATGATTTGCGAGCCACTCTGGATGGGCTTTGGCACTTAACGCGCTTGAGTGTAACGTGACCTTTGGCCGCGGGCAGACACTCGGCACCGTGTGGTGTGTTGGTGGTGATTTGGTGGCGGACTCTGAGTACTTAACAAGGCACGCTGGTTGGGCTGGTTGCAGGGTAAGGTTAAATCTCCTTCTTCGTCAACGTCCGGGGGGGACAGTCCGGCCGAGACAGTCGGTCCCCCCACCCCTGTGACCTCCGGGTCTTCCGGGGCGACCCCGACGAGCGTTTCCGAGACGTCCTCTGTACCCCAACAACCCCTTCAAGAAAAACCACAGAGACCCTTCTCGCTCAAGGTACGATATCATCAGCAAGTGTTTCACGTAGGCGAGATACCCCCGTGATACAACTTATCTTTAATATTTCCTAGAAGATTATTCATACTATGCGCTTATATGTGAATGGCTTTCGAACACCGGATACCCGTTCTGTTTTTTTTTTCTTTCGTCCCTGCTGTGCGGATGTAACGACCTAGCGGCGGGGCACAGTGAGAAAACGTTCAGCTTCCCTCTCGATGTTTAGCGAAATACGAAGCAAGCGTGACGATGCTGCGAGATGTACAGCCGCTTGTCCTCCCTTTTAGTAGAAGTTACTTTACTTACTTCGACAACGGATCGTTATCTTGCTTCTTGACGCTTCTTTCACGTTGTAGACGAAAACGAAACCTTGCCTCGGCAGATGTATTTTATAACGACGTTGCGGACCCACTTGAGCGTTCGTTAATACAGTGCTCCTGGCACGCATGCAATACTAAACACTTCCTGGAAAATAACAACGCTGTATTTATTTGCATATCTGTGTCGGGTGACGGTTACTAAGATATTGATTCGACATTTAATACAACTTCTCTTCTCCACTAACTCGAAGAAATTTTACGCTCTTTACATGTAAATGCGTCTCTCTGACATCTAATTAAGCTGTATTACGAAAATTTAATTTAAGTTCCCGCTTCCAGTTACGGCTGTTGCGCCGAGTTGTTTAAATTCGACACCTATAATTAGCGTGCACCGCGAATTAATGCGCCGGGGAACTTGGAGAAATTCGAGGAGCCTTGATATAATTCATAGTTACATAAGATATTGATCAAACAGACGGATAAATGTTGCATGTATAGAGGCAGTGTCACCAAGTTTCCGGACCATAGCTGGATCGAGAATCTGTCTGTGGAGAGCGTCAATTATTACGAGCGTAATAATTAACAAATTAAATCTACCATCATGTTTTATCCGTGCTTACTTCGGGTAAATATTCGTACGGCGTCGTAAATAACGCGACATCTTACATCGCGTGCAAACGCAAGTGCAGACCCCAGTGATACACACAGGTTCATAGATTTGTACGTCGTCCGTTTTACTTAGTTAAAAATTTCGTAGCTTATTTCTTTCGTCTCGGCAAAATGTACCGTGTATGACATAATAAGTGTACACGCACACTTAATCTTTACAAAAGAATCCGAGACTCGTCATAATTGTTTTATAATGAATGTGATTATTAAGTTCCATACATTTGAAAACAAAACGCTAAACAGAATCGAGTTTTTTTCCTATACTGCCAGTATCACACACAAGTACGCATTCGTAGCACCATCGCAATATCCCTCTGAGACATTCTCCATTTGTCTGACAACGAATATAGGAAATAAGCGAAGATGTGCGGGACGTCGAGCACAAGTGGTTGGAGCACGACGGCAATGCGCCATTCATCGAGACCAGGCGCACTCCGGACATCGAGAATATGGATCCCGAGCAGTATCGTCAATCCATATCGCAGTTAGTACTCGCGCCTGTAAAATTTACAATCGGAATTGCGAAGAGTATCATGACGCGGAATGTCTGTTATAGAATGAACAGCAGCCTGAGCGAGATCCAAGCGGACATACAGCGCCTGGCGAACCAGCAGAATCAGATTCAGCAGCAGCACCTGATGTCGCAGCACCAGAAACAGATGCAGCAACAGCTTCAGCAGCTGCAGAGCCTCAGTCACCAGCACATGCAAGTGCGTATGCCGGGGGTACATCCCGCGTCGCGTCATACCGTCAGCCGTTTCTCTCTCAAACGTTCTCTCCTCTCAACGTTTTCTTTTCTCAAACGTTTACCTTGCAGAGTTACGGGATGCCGCCGATGAATCCGTTAGCGCCCAGACTGCAAGATACGCAACAGTCGCAGTTCTACTTGCACGATCAGCCGCAAGTGCAAAGGAGAATGTGGGGCCAGCCGGCGCCCGCTCAAAGTCTGGCCAATGAAATGGCCGCGGTGGGCTACCAGCAGTCTATGGAATCGCGATTTAGTCCTCAGCCTGCCGGTACCTATTAAATTACTGTAGAATACAAAATAAATAAGAATCGGTAACTTCTAAGTAAACCGCTGGAAATTCATTATTAATGAAAAGAAACTTGCGCAATAATATATTTTATAGCTATTATATACGCACGATATTGAAACTTTTTTGGAAGCTGCACAAATCTTAAAGAATTTTTTTTACCGATTATTCATGGAAAACTCGCTTGTAGAATCTGCTTTTACAAGTAGATTATTTCCGTCTTTTCTCAGCTTATCAGCAGGATATGCGCATGTACGCGGATCCCACGAGGACTTGGGCACCGCACCCGACGCAAAAGGGATTCGTTTTGCACGACACTCAGGAACCAAGGTACCTCAACGGGGATCATAGTCTGTGTAATAATCAAATGAGCCACCCCGGTCCGACCAGCGTCTTTCCAACGTCTTCGTCGCTTTTCAACCAAACACAAGCCACGTCTGCTAGTCCACAACACCGTAACACCGTAAGTATTTCCGTAAGATTTATATCTTCGCGTCCACTTTTCTCGCGCTCCTTTTATGCACTTAATTAATGAAACAGACGAAAATCGCCGAGGACATTTATACCACGGCGTCGTCTTATCACATTCTCTCGCAGCAATTCTATTTATATTTACACCAATTAGCTCTTCTGCATACAATGCATGCACGCACGTGACTGCATCAACTTATTACGAAAGGCAGAAAGACGGGCGAGACTGAATGCTGCACCCACAGCAGCGATTATGTAGTGTGAGTGAGAAAAAGTTATAGCTAAACGTTCGCGATGCGTGCGCCGATCATCAGCTCGATTTGGTCACCTCAACACGAAGGATCGGCCCCGAGCGCGTACGTATGTGCATGGGAACCAGTTGGTGATGTAATGCACGCTTATAGACGCTTGTTCTTGACACCCAACATGGCAGACGCTACCCACACTGGGCAGTCTTAGCGCCTAGACGATCGCGTCCGGCTCGGATTTACACCTCTAGTCTCCTCCAAGTGATTTGTAAATTTGAATAATATGTATTTCCTCGACTCGGCCGTCGCAGCCTCGCGCGATTACTTCACTAAGGTTTGCCTCGGCTGTTCTACTCTACTTTTATGCGTTCACGTATCTCGCTTTTGACAGATACGCGGAAGCGAACGATCATTACACACAAAATAACAGTGCCGTGACAGTGTTTCGTAAATATTATTTCAGATCCGTGTTTCAAGTACGAAGTAGTCGTTACAAGACTCACGTATTTACGTTGTACACTGTGTTTTTCTAGATATAATTATTTTGTCTTGTCCTTTCCAAAACCGTAAAAATTGTGCGCGAGAAGATATTAAGTTATTAAATTAATAAAACACGTCTTTACGTCGTTGTCTTATGTGAATATATTTTGTTGTCGCAGGTTCATCGAATAAGTCAGTTAATGAGCGAGAGCCCCGAACCTAAGAGATCAATTGTACATCACATCCCGATCTCGTGCGAGAGCCCGACGGAGAAGAGGCAAGTTACAGCTTTGCACACTCCGGTACCAGCTCCGCCAGCCGATGACATGAAGCCCCAAAATATATCTTTTATCGGTAATTGAGCTTTGTTTTACAACTTTTTTAAATTGTTATACCGAAAACCTCTTTTCTTAAGCCACTTCTTTTTATCTCGAAGGCAACGACGATGACCTCGCGCAAGGTATTCGCGGCTTGAACATCACGTCGGGTAGTCGTACGTACAGAATACCATCGCCAACTAGACCCACGATATCGCAGAACTCCTTCCAACCTCACCCTCACCCGTCGCTGAGAGAGACAGTTTCGTCGCGTTCTGCCACTCCGGATATCACGCCTCTGGATCCCACGGACGCGAACGAGAAAGGATTCTACATCTCTTTCGACAATGACGCTCCTAAGAAACCGAAACCGACTCTCAGAGTGAAGAGAACGTCTCCGAAAAAGGTGAGCGCGTTTTTCCGTTATATTTTCGTGTTCTTGATTCTGCTCTTACTTTATTTAATTACTTTTCTTTCTTGTGCACCACTTTATCTCTTTTCTTTTATACTCGTTTGAATTGAATTTTGTAATATGTAAAACGTTTCTTTAAAAGAAAACAATTGATTATTTCTTTAGGAACGAAGCAGCATATCGTCCTACATCGAGCACGAGGACTTTACGGTGCGTCCGGAATCGCCTCCTACTAGCGCGGTAGAAAGGCAGAAACAAATGGAAGCTCAGCGAGAGTTAGAGCGAGAGAGATTGCGACAAGCCGACGAGAGGGAACAGCAGAGGCAAGAAATGAGGGATAGGGAGCTCAAACGGGAAATGGAGAGGGAACGACAGAGGGAGAAACAACAGCAAGGCAACAGTCCAGAAGCCGCCTGTTCACACGCTTCCGGAGTCGGTCTGGTGATTGGAAACCAACTCACGAATCCCGATCCGGTATATTAATATATTGACTACTCGAACAGACATAAATTCTACAATTATCCTTTGTTTCTAGTCTTGCTTATAAAAACCTTAATGTACAAGATGTTCAAATCGTATTACTTCACAGAATTCTATGGACGAAATGGAGAAGAAGAAGGAGAGGATAATGCTAATGTCGCTGCAAAGAAGGCAGAGGCAGGAGGAAATGAAGGAGAGAAAGGAAGTCGAGACCCAAGCGCGCAGGGAACAGGAGAAAATGAAGGTGGAGGAAAGAGCTCGCAAGAAAGAGGAGGAACGACAACGGCGAGCCGCTATCTTGGAGCACCATAAGGTGAAGAAAGCGATAGAGGAAGCAGAGAGAGAAGTGAGTGATATTTCTAACGACATTATCAAATGGCTGGAGATAAGTTGATAACATAAATGTCTTCGTCTTTAGGGTAAGGTAATTGATAAGGAGCTTCTGAATGCAATAAACCCAGCAAAATTACGTAACAAGACTGCAACCGCTCGACCGCGGCCCAAAACGATTCACGGAGACGCCGGCGCGGTATTGGATTCCGGGGCTCTTACACCTAGTCGCGGGAAGAAGGGTTCTTCTTCCAACTTAAGCACAGGTGAGATTTCCCTCAAGTTGTACTTGCAGAAAATGAGTAATCTGTCGCAACGATCGATGCTTCTTGGGGATTAAATCTATTGGTAGAAATTAAAGAAAATGAGATTTGATGTATTGATAAACTTTGAGAGAAGAAAAAAAGGAGATAAAGATAAGAGTTAAAATAGGAGATAAAAATGTATATAAAACGCATTCTTCGACAAAACAGAGAGATGAACGCACATATCTTTGAATCAATCGCCAAGAAGATGGATCTTTTTACACGTTGTTGTGTCGCAAGTGCATTTCCCCGTTATAATACTCTAATAGCAACAGTCTCCTCGATGTTGTAATTTGCATATTTTCGTAATTTGCATTTATACATTGCATGGCGAAGATTTCTACGATCAGAGCCGTTTTTCTCTTCCGTAATCTTAGCGATGTCACTCTTGCTGTATTATTAATTGTTCTTTTTTTCCGTTATAATTGGTTTCTTCTTTTATGAATTTCTACCCCGACCACATGCTCACGAGCTCCAGATTTTCTCGTCTATGCTAGTTTATCGCCGTGCCGTAACGGCTACCGTAGAACGCTCGACGAGCCCCGCTAATCGAGCCCGCAATCGCGACATCGACGCCAAACTAGAATAGTACAGAAAATACCGAGCCGATTGTTTTGCACTAACACACTTACTGTAGCGTCGCTGACCTCTCCGACGATGAGGCGAGACTACTACCGAGGCTCGCAGGATAGTCTCACTGCTGCCCACCTCGATGACCGACGTTCTTCCGGCTCTCTTTATCGGGGCGGCAGTCTCAGGGGTATGCACCACACACACTCTCTCACCGCGCTCATACAGTACACATCTGCAAGTTTGTTCTCTTTTTAAAAACTCAATACCGAAATATATCTTGTCGCGCGATAAGTTAGCGGTCTAATAAATTGTACGCAGCAAAAGAAACCGATACAATACTTTGAATCAATTTAAAATTGAAACAAGACATTGCAGTAAGTATTGTTATATATCAAGAAAATTGAGAAACGCTAATTCGAATTTAATTCGATGGAAATAGTATTCAATTCTCTAAAGACAAGAATCGTCTCTGCGGAACGGAAGTTAATCTTAAGCAAATGTATTGCCGATAAAATGTAATTCGCAATGTTTTTTCACAAACGACACGTTTATTTTACTGCACTTTCTCCCGTTATTTTTTTTCCAATCTGGCATGCTGTGTACCTTGTTTTTTGGTATCTGTAATTTTATGTATAATGCATAGCGGCTGAGAATCACTTGATATATCTATATATATATTTATAAGTAGCGTAATACCTGCAGAATTATAACCGATTGTAATAGAGATCCCGGTTTTTTTTTTTTAGTATCTTCCGTAGATTCGCCCGACGACGGTAGAGGTTCCTCGCCTTGCCGCAGCGTGAATCAACTCGGCCGACGCGGCTCCTACAAGACCTCCAGAGGTGGGTTCGATGTTGCTTACAGTTTACCGCGGGAATGCCGCAGGCTCTGTACGATTGTTCGTTTCTTAAACGTTTGGCTTGACGAAAGTAGACTCATTGCAGGATGTATCACACACTGGTATGGGCAGCTATCTATCAGAAACTTACGCGATAAATGTTTGAACATTTGATTAAGCCTTTGATTATCCCCTACGAGCGACTGAGCAAGGTCACGACACTTTGCGGGTATGATTGTTCCCCGTTTCTTTTTTTCAAATTTTTTTTCGTTTGATTTTTGTCTTTGATTTCTAGTAGCGCCTTGTAGTGGACATCTTTCAGTTGGAACGCAACGTTGTTCTGCACCAGAAACTGCACCGGCCACTTCAGTTCGATGTACCCCCCTCTGGATATGGCTCGTAGTTTTAATCCTCCCCCCCCCCTTTTTAAATCCTCCCTGCCCGCGCCAGGCTCGTTCCCTCCCGTGAGATGTGCACGATTGAGACATCTCTCCCGCAACTTACTTAATCTCTTTCATAGTACATGGCGTTTTGAGTGTAACAAGGCAAACGTTGCGTTATTGCAGATGTGCAGGAGTCTCAGCAACAAGTTAGAGGCAGGCCTAAATACCAGACTTACCAAAACTTTAAGGGGAGAAAGTCTAATTCCCTGATGAATTTGTGCGGTAAGAAGCACCACAGTGACTTGGAAATACGCTCTCCCTTCTATATCGTGCAACAGTCTCAATGTCTCCTATGTATATATATTTACAATATATATATATTATCACATTGCCCCCCATTGAGATTTTTGTAGAAAGTAGCACACACATACACGCGCACTCACACGCACCTACATGTACGTAGTGGCATGGCGGCAGGCTGGAGAGCACACAGGTAGCAGTGGTACTTAACGACTCATACATACGCACAACGATCATATGCAGTTTTCTTTTTCTTTTCTTTTTCCCCTTATACGTTTGAGCAAAGTTCCACCGATGCGGCTTGATGACGAAAGGATGGAAGTCTTGGTTCTCTCGTGCTTTGTAAGCGACGCACGATTTACATATGATTTCTTCGCTTCATCGCCGGCTCCGTCGAGGCGGAACTTTGTCCTCTTATTTTCTCAGGACGACTCATTTTTGCTGTTGTTGTCGCTGCTGCTGCTACTGCCGCTGCTACGTAGAGAAGGCTCGGTTGAAGGCTTATTTGGGCTTGTTGTTGTACAGCACTGGGCGTCGGTACAAAGTATATTTTGTCGATCGGTGTCTCTTTCCAGATTTATTCTGTCGGTGGCTGTGGTATCTGTTTATAATAAACCTCCCAACTCCTAGGTACCTAGGTGTCCCGGTTTATCCTATCACCTCGCCTCGGACACCCCGCTCTGTATCCCTGTATCACTGTTCTTATTTCCAGGTATCGTGGCGACGAGGTATAGCAAATTCGTTGCAAACGCGACGCGCGGTCTGCATAATCGAGACTCGCGTGCTCGGTGAATGAACTTGCTATACGTCCTTATTCAATGTCAGTAACACCCGACCGAGCGTTTCGCCGCATAACGCGGAGTTAAATCGTTGGAACTAAGCCTTCGGCGTAAATCGTCGCATTAGCGTTGATCGAGAGAGTCATAGTCTTGATAACTAGTACGCTAGAGAATCATGACGTTAGAATCATTCTAGCGCAGTCGAAAGTTCAAGCTGATAGACACGAGCGCTTAGAGTTTTTTTTATCAGAACCATAGAGTACATTACAAATGTTATAAATATATATATACATTTTTTTCGCATAATGAGACGCAGGTTACCAAGTCGAACTTTCTTAAGGCAAGGAAGGTGTCTCGCACGCCTGATAACAAGTGACTAATACATTCTTGGCGGGGTGGCTAACCATCATTAATAATGAAACTGAAAGATCCCTGTATTCTGATCCGTTATCGCTTGGGTGACAAGGAAAAAGATGTACAGTCGTCGTTATCCTTTAACGAGAACGGTAACGCGCAAACGTTCGCCTCTCCGTTGAGATTCCCATCTTCATACGCGGAGCGTGCGTTTCGCAGGCGCAAGTAGTGATCGAGATGGTATGGTGTGTCGGTATACAGATTCGGACAGCGGCCTGGGCAGATCGACACCTCCGAGACGCGCCGCCAGTCCAGGTATAGGCAGTATGAGGCACCTAACGTCACCCTCGGGTCCGGGCTCGCTACCACCCGCCCTGATGACATCGAAGAAGAGGATCTACGACGACGGCAGCAGCGATATCAGCAGCACGCCCAGCTCATCTTTGATGGACTACAACGGTAAGTAAGATTATCTTCGCGAGGAGATACACTCGACGGTTGCTGTATTTTTAATGCGAGAAGAAGCGAAGAGACTCACCGTTTACGCCTCCGCTGCGACAGGCCCGAGACTGTATAAACTGCCGATAGCCAAGTCGAATCGCAACTTGATGCTGAACGCGGTGGAGTACTGCGTCTTCCCCGGCACGGTCAACCGGGAAGCCAAATCGAGAGTCCTGGAGGAGATCGGCCGGTCCGAGAGCAAACACTTTCTCATCCTGTTTCGGGACGCCGGCTGCCAATTCCGCGCTCTCTATTCGTATTGTCCCGAGAGGGAGGAAGTAGCCAAGCTGTACGGTACTGGGCCCAAACAAGTCATCGATAATATGTTCGACAAGTTTTTTAAGTAAGCGAAATCGATTCTTCAAGTTCGTCGTTTCTTTTCTTCTTTGCCCTAAAACTTGAATCAATTCTGCGTCTCTGTATAAGCCTGTGCGTTACACGTTACTGATCGCCGTCTCTTCTCTCCATCCAGATACAATTCCAGCGGAAAATGCTTTGCGCAAGTTCACACGAAGCATCTGACGGTGACCATAGATGCCTTTTCGATACACAACAGCCTGTGGCAAGGCAAAAAGGTGAACTTACCGAACAAGAAGGACATACCGCTCGTCATATAGTTTTACACAAGTGGTCACACACTTAACATTACGCTACTGTGCCCTCTGTTGTTCATAGTTACTATTTTAATACAGGCCCATATTAAATTAATGCGAATACGTTGCGTTCTTAGTCAATTTTATAAGGACAATTGATCGGTGCTGACCCCGTAAAGAAACGATCGCGCGTCGCTTCCAGAGGGGTGGAAAAGACCGGGCAGGGAGGGGGGGACGTTATCATCAGGGAGAATGTGATTTGTTTTAACTTTTTTTTTGCCTTTATCCGTTTTTCGTTGAGCGTCAGCATCAATCACTGTGTCATAAGAGTACCAGTATATACTTGTAAGAATGGTTTGTCAATACATCCCTAAGATACCACTTTTCTTAATTTTGCGGACTAACTCTCGTCATGTAACCGCCTTGTAATCTTGTAAAACGCTGCGTTGCGACCGCGTGGACGCGCGACTCTCACGGATGTATGCGCGAAAGTTGAGTCTTTCTCCGAAATTTATTTTGCGAGGCGAGGCGCGAAGTAACGAGGGAGGATGGCAACCGTTGCAGCCTGTGTTCTCGCGCGTGCACACGCGCGTGCGTAATTTGCGATTCGCACAGGTCTCAGTTCTTCGCTAGGCTAGGGATTCTAAATTATTCAACGACTATTATCCAGTGGCGTTTGAGACTTTTTAAAAGAGTATATTAGGATATGATAACGCGAAACACTATTATTGTGAGGGATCATTAATTTTTAGATGTGCCTCGTGCACAAATCGCTGACTTTCAACTTCGTTTTTATTTTCTGTATAATAGCATGCAATGCAACCTCGCAAGAGAGATGTCCTCTTTCTTTTTTTTATACCACTCCTTTTTAATCGAGAAGAATGGTTTTTTTATATATATATATTTGTCATATCTTACCGGTTGAGATACGCGAATGCTCTCAACGCGGCTCAATCGGACGGGGTTGAATTAATGATTTCTCATACTGCATACGTTTCTCGCGGCTGTTGACGATTGTAACGCGTAGCGCAAATCTCGCAGTGTCCCCCTCTCGCCCCCCTTTTCTCCGCGAGGGAAGAAATCCTTGCCAATGTGTGGGGTGGCGACGGACGCGAACGACGATTAGCTCATGTTGTAAATAAATCAGTTTGTTGCGTAATTAGTTGAGCCAGGTGTAAGAGACAGCCTTACGATAAATCCGGGCGTATATGAGATACATGCGTTGAGTCCGTTTCTTTTTGCGGCGAATGATGAACGAGCTGCGATAATATGCGTTTCGAGTCTACAGCGTAAAACAAAAAGAAAACGCACGTGCGAGGTATGCGCGTGCAGTTGACGCCGAAGCGGCTGTTTTAACGCCAGCGATGTGTTGTTTCGTTGACGGATGATTAAGGCAATCACGATTGTGTATAGAAAGTGGATAAGTATCGTTGCCTCGCGAACCAAATCGAAGGACCGTCGGGAAGGGAAAACTCGCGGTGCTTTCCTTTCCCTCCCGAACGCGCTTCAATCTTTATTCGTTTTGTAAGAGGAAGGTGGAGGATGGAGCGTCGTCTGAATCGCGAAATTTTATCCGTCGAACCGCGCTTCATCTCGAGCCGAAGCCTCGGTATGTGACTCCGCAAAAGTTCGCACGTTCTCCCGAGCCTTCATGTTACGCCTTCCTCCGAAAGAGAGACCGAAAGAGAGAGGAAAACAGTATGAAGCCTTATGTTATGAACAATGTAATTGGTTTATATAATGTAAGTGCGTAAAGACATTTAACGAATTAACACAGCCTGACTTTTCTTCAACCGTATCTCGCCACCGTACATTACGTTATTCCCCGTAGGATCTGTCGGCAACGCGACGCACATCCCGCCGTCTCTCAGCGAAACCTCAGTCAGTCCGGGCGAACAGAGAACGCGGCGGTCCGCGTGCACGCGGGCGCCGTAGTTTATCGGAGGGACTGTTATAATTTATTGTGCCATAAATTCGACGTTCGCTTTTCGCGTGGGACTGGCATTCGGCTTCCTATCTCGCTGAACGGGCCTTTTTCGGTCGAAAATATGTTTCTTTCATTATAACGTTGTTGTTAGAAGAAGAAGAAGCTAGAGATAGGTAGACTTCAAGTAGACATTTTGTATGACAATATCGGGGGTCTGTCGTTTGTACGATTATTTTCTCCCCGGTCCCGGGCCCCGTCCACGATGACGTGGTCTCGCGGACGCCGCCTCGAGGATCCGTTTCTCCGATTATTTTGTACAATAAGTCTTCGACTCGGCACGGACGGTCGTGCCGAGTACAGGTAGACCCTCCATATTCCGCGACACGACGTAATACAAGCGTACAGGATTATTACACGACACAATTACACAAATACAACGCGACATATCGAAATCCAGTGTTCTCCGGCAGCTGAAACTGCGGAGGAGTAATCTATGTATCTTCAATTCGCGTGGGACGTCGCGGCCAGCTTGGTCTCGCCGTTCGACCACGTGTAACGAGAGGGATTTGTGAGATTAAACTCCGTCGAGATTGTAGTAACAGAGAAAAAGAGAGAGAGAGAGAAAGAAGTTCACTGTTCTATATCCCCGTCTGTTGTAAATTTATCCGAGTGCGATTATGATACAAGAGAGGAAGAGAGCGATAAGGTAGAGAGAATCTTAGACTCAGAAACAGTCCGACCTGACAATATCGAACGTGAGGTACGCGCCATAGGGGAAAAAAAAAAAAGAGAATATGAGATCTTTCGAGGTGGAGTGCAAATTGTGGTAAGTCCATGACGATGGACGATGTTTGAGAAGAGAATGAAGAAAAAGAGAGAAAAAGATATATGATTGCAATTAATATATATATATGTATACATAGTCATTAATCTTAAGAGCCAGCGAGATAATGGCTTGTGGAAATGGGATTGATTACAGAGTTATGACGTTAACAGAGATCTCTCGATATTGGTCGCTTATGCTTGATATTTATATTTTTTGAAGAATAGATATTATTAGTGAGCTGGCGAAAAAAAAGAAGACTTGGACGCGACAATTTTTTGGATGTGGGCAAAACGGAGTGGACCGAGACGGGAAGGAGGAGAGAGACGGGAAAACCGAGGCATACACGTACACACAATTGAATGCTGCGGCACGACGTGAATTTGTACGCCGCAGCTAAATTGCGCTTACTAATAATAAACGATTATTGTTACGTAATAATTATCGATTTTTATTGTCGCAGAAATTTCGACGTCAATGCGAATATCAGTTCTCGAACTTCTATCCGTGTCTCTGTAAATATTATGTTTTTATATACACGTAAAACGAAGAACGTATACCTACCTACTCGACGATATGTATATTTATTCAGTACGTCATGTAAGATTTGGGTCATAATTTACTGTTAGCATCTTCGCAGCGAATGTCATTAATAAAATTTAATAACCCATTTGTAATAGACTTTTATTCTTCCGCGGATGGGTATGCGCGAAGGCGGTCCGCCATCAATCGTACCTCGCTGGGCACATTCTTTGAGAAATCTGGATTTATCTCTTGAGCTTCAATTTTTAATATAAAATATCTTAAAGCGAAGATTCCATTCGTAAATAAGAATAAGATTTTCTTACCTCTCTCTCTTCGAATGCCTAATTCTTCAGAACTCTTCAATTTTTCACGTTCGATAATTTATCCTCTGTTTCGAAGGAAAATTGCATTGTGAAATTTTATAAAGCTGCGTCTAAAGTTTCCTAGAGGACCTTAAGAAGAGCGTTAAAGAGAATAAGTCAAAGCGACACTGCTCCATGCGCTTTTTCTCTTGTTATATTATATATTTTATACACAACAGCGGATTCGTCATTTGTTAATTTTCCTTGTGTATATGTAATATATTACAGTTCAACAAGAGTCGTGTGCGTGTGTTATGTATGAGAGAGAGATTAGATATAAATATTCTTCGAACATTATCTCTCTGTGTGCGTGATCAAAGGACACTTCTTTTTTTTTTACAGGGCACTTGCATGTCTCGCGAAAAATCGTTCGAATACAAAATCTACAATGTACAAAATACATATCGGGCTCCGGTAGAAGTCTAATTATAAAAGTATAAAACATAATCGCGTTATTCTCTATTCGCTAACTCGTCGACGGGACGATCATCGAATTCTCGAGATCGGACCTACGTTAACGATAATAAATAATGGCTTTTAAATACTGATGTACAAATTGTTTGCGGCTTACAGCGTATAATTAAACTATATGGCAGTGGTCTCGCTAATTACGCGTAAAGTGTCACCGTCCGCGCGCATTACGCGTACCTGTGTGCGAAATTGTTCGTGCCACCGTTTGTCCGTCACGGCGAGACCGACGCGTACGCGGTCTCTCCTTTCCTCCCTTCTTTTTTTTTTCTATCTTCATGTTACGACGATTAGCCTAACGAAACGATCTACGGTTTAGCATCTTTTGGCTTTGTTAAGTCTTTTAAAGAACTCGTCGCCTGCGAATATATGGCACGTTAAATCCCGGTGCGATTGTTGAATCCAACGCGGCTCCTCGAGCAATCTTTGGAACTAAAAGCGCTGAACGCCGAGGTAATTATTTTCCCTCTTCATATTTCGCTATCATTGAACCGGGCAGGAGCTCAGGTGGATGTTGTGCAGTTCGGCCATATCCGTCCAGTCTCGCCTTTCCCTTCCTATCATCACATTCCTGATGCACCCGTTGAAGTGGTCCCGCGTTAACAGCGAGCCTTTCTGAGCGGTTGCTGAAAACGACGAGGCGATGTGAGTGAAGCTACTTTCATGTTCTTTCATTTATCATATAGACGTACATACACGTATACACCAATGTGTAATATGATATAATTTGACGCATTACATTCATTTACCTGGTATACCGCCTATATACAACGGGCCGGAGAACATGGAGCTATTGAAAGGATAATTGACGTTTGCGGGCAAGCCGTATTTTTGGTCCAGCTCGTCCACCTTGAGCTCCAGTTCCTCGTCGTTGTACACGGCCTGGATTCTGTGCCATCGATTGTCGCAGATTGCGTACTGGCTAGCGAATCCCTGTTCCACATACAGCGGATTGTTGTCGCCCAAATCGCCCGACATGATCACCTTACCGCTGTGCAGTTCCAGTGACAGAGAAGGCGAGCCACTGGGTGCGGTGATCGACAACAACACGCCGGATACTTCCGACGTTCTGAATTCCAGTTGAAGTTCGAGCAAGCCGTCCACCTTGAAGTTGTTTCCTTAAAGAACATAGAATTGTTATTTCTCAAATATATTTAAAACGTACATAGAACGAGTTTCTTTTTTAATGTTTCTTGATATTAAAATAAGAATGCAATCTTATCGTATATTTGGCATCGTTCATTAAGATGCCACTATAATTTGTAGTAAAAAAATCATATTATTTTAAGTTTTAAATTGAAGAGAATAAAAATAATATTTGAATTTGAGCTGATCTTTTACATTTCTCTTATATTTCGTTAATAGTTTTGCAACTTACGATAAATAGCGTAGGCTTCGCCCTGGAAATACGCTCCGCTTTCGACACTCGGGAAGCACTGACCGACGTTGAAGGCTCTACTGGTAGAACCTACCATGTCGTAGACATTTCCATTGATCTTCAAGCCTCTGATACATCCCTTCAGTGTCTCCAATCTGACGACCACTTGTTCCGGGATGGGCGTTCCGCTTTCCGGGAGACCGCCGATATACATCATGGACGCGAGGCCGATCCTCTTCGGTACTTTGAGGACGCGCGGTGTCTGGGTATCCACTAATAGGATAAGCTTCCTCTCCTCGTGACTGATAACAACGTGATGCCAATTGCCATCATTAAACGGAGTCTTAAATAGTATTTCCTTCTTTTGTTTGCTTTTCACTACCAAAAGAAGCTGTCCGTCCCGGATGAGCACCATCAGATAATGTTTCAATCGAAGACCCTGTAAATGTGCATTTGTAATAACATCGGTTACAATGTTAAAATTGAAAATAATAAATGTTAAATTATCACAACTATATTTATGCCAGAGATTGACATTATAAAAGATTTTTCATAAAAAATCAGCTTTGTTAAATTTAATATATTGAATAAAACAAATTCAAGTCAGATGCAAATCAAATTGTTAAATAGGAAAGTAGTAGTTAAATAAAATAGGATTTTTACCGGAGTGATGAACAGCAGCCCGTTAGGATAGTACGTTCTAAAATCAAATTCTATCACATATTTCTTTTCCCAGAATTTCTTGAAGTTGAGATAGAGCTGCGTATGACTGTGCGGCTTGTCGCCGAATTTCAAAGCGCCCGGTTCCAGCGAGTAGTAAGGCACTTTCTGGCACCCTTCGGGCTGCGTGGACATCCCTCGGGACAGTGACGCCGATGGTGTGTAATTCGGCGTATCTTTCCCCATACTCGGTCCGGGACGACCGATTAGAGCGTGATCGAAATTAACTGCATCGTCGAACCGAAGAGTTCTAAAAAGAGGATAAATTAATCATACCATATAAAGTGTATGTGATAATAACACGTATGTAATAATTTTAATGCGCCAAGATTTCAAAGATCTATGCCTTGTTATCCCTCAAGTAATTACATGCAATATTAGATTTTTGGACGCTCCGACTTACAGATCATTGAAAATCACATCTTTGATAGCACCGTACAGTGGCGTATTAGTTGCGATCATTTTAGTATTATTGATGAGAGCCGGTAGTCCACCAAAGAAAAGTCCCCCGTTTTCGGGAGCTTTGATCGCGATACTACTGCGTAATCTTCCTGATGTTTGATATGCATCGTCGATTCTCAGCTCTAATTCTTTTCGTTTTTTAATGACGGTGACCGAGTGATATCTCCCGTCGTTGAAAGTATTGTTCGATTGGAGAAACAGCTCGCCCTGACCGGCATTTAAGCGCACTTGCACTTGTCCGTTGAGAATGCACACGGAGTAATAGCTGCTTTTCTGAAGCAACAAATTCAACAAATTAATCTCAATCTTTCTGATCGTCGTAATACGCAAATTAAGTTTATTTTCAATAAAACTGTATATGCAAATATACAATATCTTGTTGCGTATTCCATATGTGTTTATGAGTATGTCCTTTTATTACGGATTTACTTAGAGTTGAAATATTTAAGACTATTTTTTAACATTTATAATAAATTACTTTGTGCACTTAGCAACAGTGATTATTTTATAACAAAAGAAATTAAATGACATAAAATTATAACGACAGTCTTACATGCGCTGCTTCCTTCAAATTATCACTCATTCTATCTTCGTAGCCCTCAAACGTGGAAAGAAGGAGCATAGCTGCCTCTTGCATGGTTCTGAAGGAGAAACTTAAAACAGATTGTATTTTTCGCAGAGTAAATGCAGAGTGTTCGAGATATCCATCCCCATAAAATCCGACTATCTTCAATGGCTGTGACAATAAAACAAATTCGTGTTTAATGTTTGATGATATGCAAAATGTTGCAACTACATCTAAAGAAACTCAAATAGAATATTTGAGAGTCAGAAGATAATAACATTTACCTTATTACCGCAACTGGATTCCACCCCGTAATACTGCTCGGCCATTGGGTCGTAACCCTCCTGCACTATTATATTGGCCATACAGCCGAGGAACGACACCTGCGAGGGTAATATCAGTTTCTCGGCGCGAAAGCTCGGTGGCAATCCACCGATGTAATACTTGGCCTGCGACAAATCCGGAATGTCCTCCTTCGTAGGCTGTGGCGTGGGCGCAACGATTCGCTTATCATTGTCGCCGCCGATGCTAAGGCTGCATTTTTCTATATTCTTGCGTACTTGATACTGACGGAATGCGTCCACTTTTGTCCAGTTGCCGGTGTTGTATTTGAAAATCGAGGACATCTCCATACTAATGTTTCCGCCGTAGCCGACGTGAAGAATCACTCTGCCTTCCCGCAGGAAAATCATGATGTGCTGATTCTATTCATAACAAATCATGCAATAAAAATTACATTAGTTTGACAAATATAATTGTATAAATGGAATTATTAGTTAACATACATAATTTCTTTAATAAAGTGTATATGTATAATAACAGATATTTTATGAGAATAAGGATTTCACTTTTAAATTTAATTTAATGACATCTACTATTCATTTATTCTCTTTTGGCAAAGGATATAAAAGATAGTTTCTTAATATTAAAATATGCGTCGAGGAAATTTAAATAAATTCGTACATTATCTTTGTTAATGGCCAGAAATAGCAACGCATTCTCATCGTATGTTCGAAAACTAATTGAGACTCCAAACATATATTTATTGTATGGACCAGACGAGACTCGGTTTCTCACGGCGTAGCCTTCTCCATTGAAGTTGTAAGCTATGTCATCTCTGGCATCTTCCACTCTGTAACATTAATAATATTGTTAGTAAAAGGATAAAGAAGTTTTTGAGTAGTCAATTTGTCGTTTAGAAAATTTAAATTGTGACATAATATAATTTTTAACATTGAGATATACAATTTATACCAAAATACAAATAAGCATGAAAGAATAATTTAATAGCTTTCACAGGAAATTACCCCTCTACGCAAGCTTTGCAAGCCATGTCCGGTGCTGTCGTGATGAAATTCCAGAGGCCGATTTGCCTTCCGTCGAGAATCACTTGATGAATACAACCCGGAAGACCGTTACCAGCGATCAATTCCGTCGGTCGTCTCTGCGACTTAGGAATACCTCCTATCCACACTCGGTCTGTAGGTAGAACGTCGAAACGACCATACTCGGAGTTAGTATTGTTGATGACAGGAAGATACTTTCCGGACGTCGAAAACTGTTTGTGCACGTTCAGCTTGCCTGTGTGTCGTATCCTAAGATCAAGAAATGTCAATTATTTGAAATCAGCTTCTTTCTCTGGTATCCATTAATGATAGCTCTGTGATTTGTTTTTTATATTTCATCAAATTTCAATTTTGTTTATTTGTCTATTAATTAATTCTATTTATACTAATTTGACGTATTGCTATTCACCTCTCAGCCTCAATTCGATACCAAAACTTGTCATTCTGAAGATCGCCGCTTTCGATGATCTCAGGATGCGTTAGTACGCCTGTACCACCACCGACGTTCCACAGGAATCGTATCTTTTTGTCAACTATCTCTAGAGCGACGAAATCATCCTGAAAAAAAGGACGAAACATCAACACTTAAACACCGCACGAGACATTATACAATTATTTATTTTATTTTATTTGCAAAGTTAATTATTCTAATTATTAAATTATTGACCTAGATATATAATATTATCACAGAACGTACATTAACTCCACTAGGCAAGTAAAACAAGGAACCCTCCTTGCGCGCAGTGGGAAGCGCGAATGTTATCACGATCGACGTCGTTGATGAGGATTGCAACGTCGTCGGTCTGTACGAACGGATACATTCCTTACTCTCCACCGATCGCAGAGAAATTCGAATCTGAAATGAAAAAGAATTATAAAAACTTATATTTGCAAAATTATTTATCACAATTTTAATACTTTAATGCTATGTCGGAAATTATCAATCATGACTTAAATATTAAAGATTTTCTTATATTGAGAAATCATGATATCAAATAATGTAAGGACAGTATACGATAGAAACTTTATGATAATTTTTATAGAGATATATGAGAAATTAATTTTTTATTTTAATTTATGAAGATTCGAGCAAATAGAAAAATAATTATTGTTCTTACTCCTTCGGCGGTATTTCTAGCCTCTGCAATTTTGTCTTTCAGATTTTGCAGTTTTGTGGCTAACGTGTCGTTCCATTTGTCGAAAACAGCTTTCCGCTTCATTGCCGCATTCGATAAGCTTATTAACTTCGCATCGGCTTTCTTAATATTACTCAACGCTTCTGATACTAAAATACAAACATTTCTACAATAGTTTATACTTTTGATTACTTTATAATATTTAATTTAACAATTATGTGGCAAGTATACATAGTAATTTTGAAAAGAAATATTACACTTTTCGCTGGCGAGGCCAATCTTCGAATCGCCTTCGTGCTTCAATTCGAGCAGTTTTGGCTTCAGTCTTTCGGCGATGCCTTGTTTGTAATCGTCGATCAATCGTTGCGTGTTTTTTACTGATCCCGCTACTTCGTCGTTGTCCTCCAAGATATCCAATAGATCTTCATGCACTATTAAAAAAAAATCTCATTAATAATAACAATGATAAAATCTCGTTTATTCGATACGTCACATTTTCTTTGAAATTATTAATAATATTGTATGATCTCTGTAACATAGACTTACATTTCTTACTATTACTTTGCAACTCTCGCAGTTTTACATTTATCTCGTTATCCTTTATCCCAGTGTTGTTCAATGTATCTTTCAAAACGAGAACGGCTTGCTTCTGAGCTTCCAATACGGCATTCGCGTTCTTGACTAGTTTACCGTGTTCCTTTGCTGTTTCCCACTGTTTAGATGACTTGGCTAATACTTCCTTAGTATCGTCCAACAGCGATTTTTCTCCCGAAGGAGGATATATCTTGAAAAAGCATCTATATTACATTTACAGTCGACTCTCAAAATTATAAAAAAAAGTTAATTATGTTAATATAAGTAAGAACATAAGATTAGAATAGATTTTTTTATCATCTATACAAAAAATGAAAAAGGGATAATAACTTTTTGACATATCTTCAATTTTTAATAAAGAGAAATATTAAAATGTTAAGGCTCCAAGTCCAAAGAGAATCGTATAATCGTGTTATACCTTCTTATGCACGTCCTCGATGCATTCCTTGGCTGCTAATGCGGTGATTTTTGCCACTTGCAGGCCGTCGACGATATTCTTGTAGGCCTGGCTTGCCTTCAGAGGACTAGCTGCGATATCTCGTGTCTCGGCGAACAAACTATTCCACAAAAATGTTATCACATTATAGAATTGTCGACGATTATATCGCTATCGTTGAGATAACGTCACTCGTTTTGGATTTAATGGGATGTAATTATCGATTGAATTAATTATGCTAATAGGATGCTTACCTGACATACTGATCGACGTAGTTAGACAGATTCTTCGCGTGTTGCACTGCCGGGACCACATACTTCTCGTCGTATTCGTAATTTAGCCGGTACAGGAGTTCCTCCTTCATGCTCAGCTTCTTCGTCCAGTATGTTAATTTATCCCGTGAGTCTGGGAGATCCTGAAAGTCGCATTTAAGAATAAGTTTTTAGAATATTTGTTGCCTTTAATCGCAATGACAAAACACTGATGAATCGGTAAAAAATTCTGAATTATATATTATACGTCTCTTCCTTCTTTATTGATTTCTCTCGTAACTCACTGTTATGAGTTGTTAAAAAAGAATGTAAATAATTCTATTTACTTGAATATTGTTTTCCGCGTCGACAAACAGTCCATGAGCCTCGTCGACGAGTTTCTTCCCCTCGGTAATTGTTTCGTTTGCTTCGTCGTGCAGTGTCCCGATACGGGCGCATTGGTTTTTGGCCTCGGCGAATGTCCCGTTCATATTGTTGTACAAACTATCGTAGTTGAAGAGAGTTTCCATGGTGTTTTCTATAACCGCTCTCATGTCGTCCAACTTTATCTCGTAATCTTTAGCGTCGTCCTGAGCTGCCGCCAAAGGCTCAGTCGCATCGTAAAGAGAGTTTAGCCACGCCACATATTTGGTAACATCGCTAATGAATTCAGAATATATTTTTTATTAATGATGTATTTTTAAAAAGTTAATGTTTTTCTCTTTCTATCTTCTCGTCTCAAATTTATTAAAGTTATTTATTGAATTAAAGCAATACTCACTCAAGGAAGTTTTCCACTTCTGCAGTTCTCTTGCTTATGTCGACGGATTTTAGATAATTCAAAATCATCTTTGCAGTTTTTAAGGCCTTCTTGATTTCTATTTTCCTATTGTCGTTGCTGTATTGATTCAGTTCCGAAATTGTATCTGGAATTTGAGAGAAATGATTACTGTAAACGTATTTATACTCTGCAACGCAATGGTTTTAACAATAAATAAGACACATTTAAATGACAAAATAAAATTGATGTATACCCCCTATGTCTTTTCTTAAATTGTCAAGCGTGATCTTCGCTGTAAAAACATTATTTTTCAAATCGTTGCTCTTGGTCTTCAACGTATCAGCATGTTTTGCATGATTAATGAACTGTAAATTAAAATAAAATATAAAAAGTGTTATAAAGTCCACTAGATAATTTATAATTTGTATTAGATTTTAGAATAAAATTCTATAACTTTTATATTCCGTATTATTTGATACACGTCTGTATGCGTATTTTATTATACGTGTGTATCCGATTCTTCAAATGTATTTCATTCGTACGTCACATAAAATTATAAATTTTATAATTCTATTCCATCCTACATTCTGATGCAAATTATAAAATGAAAGTAAAGAGCTTAAGAGAAATTGTACATAATATTCCTTGAATAACAATTACGCAATTATTTAACAATATTAGAGTGACATACATCTCTTAACATAGCTTCAACTTCTTCCGCCAGTTTCTTGTATTCATGCCACGGCACACTTTTCATTCTTTGCAGCAGTTGAGTTCGAAGTTCCAATTCCTTGAGATATGCAGTCACGTTGGAATCGATATGCGACAGTTCTTCCCACGGGGGTGGAATGTATCCGTCTGCTATGTGGCTCGTTTCCCCGGCCAGTTCCTCGGACAGCATCGCGACAGTATCGAGCAGAATTCCCGTACAATTGTCATCGCAGGCTAAACATTTCACACAATGCAATGTAAACGGTGAAGTTGTGATGGTGTATTGTGATAAGATAGGAAATTCTAATTTTTCAAATCCATTCATCTAAATCTATAGATTATAATATATTATAGTAATTTTAAGACAAGATTATTCGGGTTTTTAATAAACTTACAAGTGCAAACGTCGTTTATGTAAACGTGTCGATACGCCGTGCACTGGGAGCAATCTCTGCCCGTAGAACCGTGCCTGCATTTGCACTGTCCTGTCTCGCCGTCGCAGACGTTGCTCAAACTTCCTGCCAAGTTGCAATTGCACGGAACGCACTTGCCGTCCGGAAGGCCAGGAGAGCCGTAATAGCCGTAGGCGCAACGTTCACATTTTCTACCGACGTAACCTGCGGCAATGCGGAGGTGAATGCACGGGAAAAAGTATTAAGTCCACTTTACAGACAATTTATAATTATTATATTATATTTGCAACACAATTCGGAATGAAATTCTATTTTATGTGTTGCGTATACAAAAAAACATTTAAAAAGTACACACGTAAGTAAAATATATATTAAAGTAGACATTTAAATAGGTACTATATATGTATATAAAATGTTGTATAGCATATAAAATTATAACTAAAATTCTATCGTGGAGTCTGACTCAAATTATAGATTGTGTAAAGTAGACTTAAGGAAGCTGTAAGAAACATAAAATGTTAAGAATACATATAACTTTAAACAAGCTCTTTCACAAATTAACGACAGCATACATTTTTTAAGATCGTTTCACCGGTTAGTTTTGGAAAATATTTTTTTTATACGTGCAGTTTTTCATATTCTTATCTATGCACCTGGCTTGCAGTGACAAATAGGATCGTTGTCCGCATGAATGACGCAGGTACTCGAAAATCTCTTATCGACCTGCGGGCATGGACATGGCTTGCAGCCTCCAATATCCGGGTGACCGTAGAAACTGTCAGCGCAATCGTTGCAATAACCACCGATTGTGTTTTCTCTGCAATTCTGCAACATTAAATTTCAACATCATATTAACAATTATTCAATCCTCGACACCTTGCACACGTCCTACAGCTCCTTATTTACACGAGATTTAATAAAAACCACCCAATCTATTTATTTCTTCTAAATTCTATTTGTAAAACATTAGAATATTCCTCCTCACAAGAAAAGAAATCAATCTATAGAAATTGACCTGTACGAATGGCAAGTGTAGACGATCGAAAAGAAAAAGGATGTAAATTCGTGAACATCATGCAGATTCAAAGGCGCCTTAGTAAGAAATTTATCTTGTTTCAACTCCAGCTCATATCCTTATACACTTGTCTCTCAGCATACTTCCTGTCGCGCTATCATCTCCGCGAATAGTGTACACTCGTAGGGAAATGTTTGAGTAATGCTTACCAAGCAATATCCCGTCTCCCTGTCGCACACCTCGGATCTCCCGTTGCACTGGCAGCGCCTGGCCTGTCCAACAAGATCGATCACGATGGTGGACGTGGCGGTGGTGTTCTTGTACCACCTGTAAAAGCCGATGCTGGGATCCTGGCAAGACGTGCCGTTGTATTCCGACGGGCACTGGCAGATCTCCACTCCAGTCGCCAGCGGTGGCGAGTGCGTAGGTATCAGGACGGCGGCGTCGAGAGAAGCTTCCAGCAGTCTGAACACAGACACGCAGATTAATAAAACGCCATTGGAAATGTGTCTTTTCTTAAAAATCGTAATACAATTAACGGATAAAATAATTCTGTTTCTACACTTGTTCGTTGAAAGCCAAGGATGGCAGAAACGTTGAAAGATGAATTGATAACAAATTCATTTTACTGTTTATATGATGCATCGCTTTACGCACGTGGTTCTCGTGAATTCGGCGCTGTCGGAGGCTTTCACGAGGATGTACTGCAGATTTTGTAACGCAACCATCAGGACCTCCCTGGAGACTTTGTAGTCCGGTCTGTTTTGTAATTGCCACAGTGACTCATGGAATCTAAGATAATAAATACATGTTAGTCGTACAGCGTAAGGACCGACTGTGCATTCTCAATAAAGCTTTACCAAAAATTCCAATGATAAGATCCAACTAAATAAATAATTTATTAAATTCTAACGCAATGAATTATACGTTAAAGTGTCTAATTCATATTCAATTTGCACAGAATCACGTAATCTTTTTCTTCTTTTCAATTAACTGCGGATACCTGACTTCGTAACGATTATCGCTCACTGGTAGATGCAGATAATACTCCAAGACAATCTTATTGTTGCCCTGCAACTGCACCACGGGATATCGAAGATTCGATCTTAGTGGTATCCCACCTTCCGTCGAGGTTTTAAAGCGCAGGAATCCTCCGTAAGAGACGACCTTAAAGGATTTAATGCGAGTCTAATATTTCATGCAACTCAACCACGAGCGAATTGTGCATACACAAAATCTAACTTAAAAACGGGACAAATTTTTAACACGTCTATTTGTTAACGCACAATGTTCGGAATATCTTGGAAAAATTACCTTATCGCCTAGAAAAGAATCCGGTAGTCTCCAATATAACGGATAACTGTAATAAAGATTTGTGGACAATGTAACGTCGCCGTCGGATCCAGGGATTACGGAGAGGCCGTTTGTCACGTTCAACCCGCCGTTTACCGCTGGCAATATAGTCGTGGAGCCGAAGTTTGTTATCTGTTCAAACGCACGACAATCAGACGACGATACAACGCATAAAATATTATTCGACAAGACTCATTCGTCAGGATTTACTAGCCGAAGCGGAGCTTACTATTATGTCGTTGACCGTGTCGTTGACGTAAAGAACGCGGGGTCGAGTCAATCTACGTTGGCCCCAACTGAGTCCAGCCTGCTGACACAGAGTGCTCCTTCCGAAGCAGAAACACTCGGTGCATCCTCTGGCATTGTACGTCGCAAGGCCGAACGTGCCTTCCTTGCACTGGTTGCACTGTCGTCCGGTGACCAGTTCCTTAAAAGCAATTTTTCCGTCAGTGCACGTCGGATATACGCGCATAATTTTTTTCCGAAAATTTTTCGGACTTCAGACCAAGAAACTCGCAGGGAGATGACTAAAAATAATCCACTTCAGTGTTGCAATTTTAAATTTTCGCGAATGGAATACAACAGTTGGAAACATTCTTCTTGCATCCTACAAGGTTTACGCACGAGCTTATTCTCCAATTAAAGCTTTAATTATTTAAATTACTTAAAGCTTTAAAGACCTAGGTCTCTACAATTTTTAATCACTTCTCCTTCCTGTCGCGACGAAGAAAGCCTGTCTAAATTTCTATTCCTTCTCATCTCCCAAGTAGAACATATTGGTCATGAAAACATCAAGATGACATCATTTTTCGATCATTTTTTATGCATCATGGTGACGTCAAACTAGCCCACCGAGAGCACCGATTTGTGACATCATTAAGACATCGAAATGTTGTAAAGTTAATCTCGTTTTACCATGGCAAGCAAAGTTAATTAAGTATTATACATCAAAAATAAATTGAAGTAATATAAGACAAACATAATATATGACTGATCATCCCTGATGGAAAAATTTTGCTGAAAACGTAATGAAATTTGCTGAAAGTTGGTTGAAAATCTCTTGCAATTAACCCAATTTCGTTATCATTTCAGCAATTTTTCATTAAAAAATTTATTTTCAGTTAAATTCTGCAAATTTCATAATATACAACATTTCTAAAATTTTTTCCCTAATTTTTAGCAATATTAATTAACTTCCATCTAATTTCACAGTATTTCATTGAATTTCATAACGAAACTTATGATTTATTTTGAAATGGTTTCAACAAGTTTCCAATAACTTTCATTTCACTTTTCATCAATTTCATTACATTTTCAGCAAAATTTTTCCATCAGGGATGTAATCTGTAATAATATATTATTATACACGTCACAAATATCATGGTCATTAGTCAGTCATTGCGAAGTAAATCTTGATGTCGATCATTTTATGACGTAAAATTCGTCATTTTAATGTCACATTGACGTTTTTGTGATTAACTTGTTCTACTTGGGCTGTATCTCTCTCTCACCTTGCACGGGCACTGTCCCTTGTCATCGCACTCGCAGACGCCATCCCGGCAGTGCGTCGTGCCGGCCAAGCTGCAGCCGCAAGGACGGCACCTCGGATAGCCGTAGTAACCTTTGGCGCATCTCTCGCACCTGAGCCCGTCGTAGCCGATCCTGCAGGGGCACTGACCCTGATGGTCGCACTGGGGCCGCGTGGCGCCCAGGGTGCAGGCGCACGGCTTGCAGCCGACGCTCGGCACCAGGCCCCACGCACCCGGTCTGCACCGGTCGCAGTGCTCGCCGTAGGTCAGGCGGGGACACACGCAGCGACCGGTGTCAGGGTCGCACACGTGACCGGGTCGCACACACGAGTCGCACACTGTGGGGCAATCGCAGGATATCACAGCCGTTCTTCAATTTGTCAAGACTTTACAGAGGTGATAAAGGACCCGAGGAATGTTTATTCGGGTGTTTTATCATTTCTTTTTTTCTCCTGTTTGAATTTACAGCCGAGAATTCTGCGCGCTGATAGCTTATCAATTACGGAAGAAAGAAATAAGGGGTCTCTATCGCGCGTTACATCTTGGGACCGCGCGAGCAAGAATTGTGAAGCAAATCTTTCCTCTACAGGTGCTTAACAGTAAGGTTGAAATATCATGTGTAAAATTTATAGTACGACAAAGAAATTGCGAGGGGCTCGATTGGATAGTCGATTATTTTAGCTAGGAAATTCCACGTTAGTTAACGGGGAAACGATTGACTTACGCTGACAGCCGTTCAAAGAAAACCCATAGTATCCGGACAGACAACTGTCGCAGCGCGCACCACCCACACCCGGCTTGCAGTAGCATTTTCCTGTGTCATTGTGGCAGGACGCATTATAGGATCCCATAGAATCGCAGTCGCAAGACACGCAGCCTGCTCCGGTCGCCAATCCCCAATAACCGATCTATAATTTATATAACGTAACGATATAATCTGTCATATTAAATCTGACAATTAGAAATGCCCACACCCTCAGAAAGGATTTCGGTTACCGAGACAAAAATATTCTTGACGCATTTATATTTCTCACATTCTTATTTAGTACAAAAATAAGACAGTATAAAAATAAAATCCACAATTCTTATTCTCCTCTATCGAATTAAAAAAGATTGACTTACTATATTGAGACAAGAGTAACTTAGAAGAAATTATTCCTCCATCTTACACAGAGAGAAAAGTACGTAGTATTTGCGACGTAATTGCATAGTAAAATAATTATAGTCAGGAATATCATTTTTATAGTAATTATCACTATAATATTAGTAATAACAACCACATAGTCATAGCGATGCCAACCAGCATAAAAATTTTACTATTATTTATGAAGCTTTTAACCATTATTCTGGTAAAATATTAAGATGGTGAATAGTAACTAAATTAACTAGTTTTATATAGTAGGTGCAAGTACAATAATAGTAAATTTAACTATACTTTCTATCATCCACTTTACTATTCGCATGGTAAACAAAAGTGAAGTGGTTCGGAATGTCTTCACTAGAGGGACGCGCGGTACAAGACTCTCTCGTAAGTAAAAAACCGCTTAGGGTGTTATAAATACGGATAAGTTTACGCATTCGTATAAGATTGCTTATCTTTTCTTTGAAAGATGCTATCTTGTACTATTCTTTATGAGTGCAAAGTGATGTAACCAATGAATATAATGAAATTACTATTACATATAGTTATTCGAAATTTTACTTGTGGTTGTTATTGCAATATTCATAGTACACCTTACCAAATTAAAAGCTCCTTTTGGTTTATGACAACCATATCATAAGTTGCATGGACCAATATTGTGTCTATGAGAACTATAATATATTGTTAGGTCAACCATAACTTACGTAGTTGGAAGAATTATAAAAATATGGCTGGCTCCAAAAATGACTATAAATTATAGTGAGATTGTGGTAACTGCAACTATTTTTTTCTCTCAGTGAAGTAGAAATGCGTTGCCATCGCGATATGTGTTTTGCTAACTTTTATTTTTAGATACATTTATCTAAAATAAACTAACTAAAATTAAATGAAGAAGAAAGCTTAGCAGATCAGGCTATAATCGAAGCTTTTTCTACTCACTTAAACCATTGAGGTAATCTCCAATTTCAACGAACAGGTACGTAAAATGTAAAAACGTGAAAATTTTAAACAAAACAGCTCGTGTATCTGTTTTGAATTATATTAACTTTTGACTACATTTCTTGACGGTTCCGGGAAAAGTTGCGACTGGTCGGAATCGTATGTTTGAATTTACTTGTCATTAGAGAATTTCAAGTATAAATAATACGCTACACGGTCGCCGGAAGTTACAACGCGCGCGTCATTTACCCGTGCAAGCGCGGGCAACTGTTCCCGCGCTCGAAAACGTCAATAGAGCGATGCATACGGAAATGAGGCCTCCACCGCGAACGAGGCATTTCTGACGGCGTCTTCCGCTTCTGACATTGTGCTGCGCCGCAACATTCGACGTTGAGCCTCGCAATACGAAGCACTTTGCGGAACGTCTAAACAAGTAGTGAGCGCCGTGAACGACGAGGTTTCCGGCGTGCGTTTATAAAGTTCGGCCGATGAGAGCTCGATGTCAAGGGACGGGGGAGAGGAGGGCTTGCGGCTATTAATAGATACCTCGTCGTCGTCCTGGGGGGGGGAGGGGGGAAGGAGGAGGAGAGGAAAACTTCTGTTGTGTCTCTCCGGATGAGGAGATTCGAGGAGTTCGAGTCGCAAATTGGAGAACAGTATCACCAGCGTTGCCCGTTGTTCGCGTCCGTTGCGCAAGCCCCGATGCGCGAGATCTCCATCGTAGATCCTACGAGACGAAAGCGCCAGGAAATAACGAGGCGAAGTCGCGAGAACACGTTGTTACGGGCGTAATGGAACCAAGCCAAGTCCCATCCGATAGTTACTCCTCGAAGAAAAGCTTGTCCCCGATGAAACGTACGATATAGTTGCCCTCTAGTAGGGGCGACACCAGCTGAACCGCAGGGCTCTTCACGTCGCGCGCTCTCTCGTATAACAAACGGCATCATTTGCCGATACGCGGCACTTACAGGATATCTAAAAACTCTCTATACTTCTCTGCAGTTGTATACATATATTTAGAAAAAATTAAGCAGCGCAAATCGCATTCGTTAATAATTTCTTTTATACTCTTCTATGATAAAATAATAAAGAAATCCTTTATTGTTTAGACTCTCGGAAAATATAATACGATAACAAATTGATATGACATCGAGTGACATGTAGAAAGGCACGTCTTTCATTAATTGTCAATATTAATTTGTTTACGACACCTTTCGCACGTTAACTAAAGTCGCCCCGTAAATGAAATCGTCATAGATTATTCTGGCATTTCATAATTAATATGTTGATAAATATCGCTAAGGTGTACTTTAAAATACTGTTGTAAGTAATTTTTTATTCTTTCGGAATGCGCGAATCGTTGTAAAAGCGCGACGACGTTCCGCATTGGACTTCTCGGAATCATTTCGAATGCAAACTTAAAGAAGTTATCAGCGACGAAAGATCGAAGAGCCGAACATAGAAAAGAAAAGAGGAAAAGATCCAAGGAGGAATCACGATTTCGCATAAGAAATGTGCATTGATTTCAGAGGCCAATCTCACCTAATTAGGAAGCGTTTTAAATCTATATAGTATAATTGTAGTGACGGAGCCTCTGTATGTATGAATGTGTGTGCGTGTGCGAGTGGACTGCGAGATATCTAGAGAGAATTGCGAGATATTGAAAGAGATGACGATTGCACGTGAGCGACAGGGAAGAGGCGTGCGAGAGGGAGAGAAAGAAGATAGAGTTATAGGTGCGTAACGAAAAAACTAATG